CCCCACCCCCACCCGCGGAAGCCGATCCGGTCCCTCGCTGCCCTCGCGCGCCTATTGTTCTCTTTCTCCCGCTCCGAACGCTTTCAGCGGGTTCAAATGCCCTCCTCTCCCTTCCCCCCTCACGCTCTTCGGTAATTCCTTTTCTTCGTTGCATCAGGCTAGTTTACTTCTACCGTCGCGTCTTCTCTACAATTCTTCTTTATTCTTTGCGCGGTTATTGTTCTCCTCCCCTCCCGAATGCTTTCAGCGGGTTTAAATGCCCTCCTTCCCTCCCTGTCGCTCCTCAGTAATTCCTTTTTTCTCGTTGCATCGGGCTAGCCAACCTCTATCGTCGCCTCTTTTCCACATTTGTTCTTTTTCCTGTTTCCAGCCTTTGGTCATTTCACTCTCGTGCAATTATTAATCTCACTTTCATTTCGAATAATTTCGTCATTTGAAATGCAATCCACATCTTTCTCTCTCCCTCCCTTCAGAAACTCTTTTTCGTTCATTGGAAAGGTCAAGCTTAACTCTAACGTTTCCTTCTCTCATTCGTTCCTCGCTCACACATTTACAACCTTCTGGACATCTCACTCTCGTGCTCAAATTATTCTCATTTTTGTTTTCATTCCGAACGCGTTCACCGAGTTTACTCCGCCACTCTTTTTTCTAACTTATAGGCCTACCTTTCCTTTAATGTATACGTCAAGCTTACTGCCACCGTACCTTCTTCCTTCCTCGTTCGTTCTTCGTTCTCACGTCTCCAATATCCTGTTCATGTCATCCGGATACAGTTATTGTTCTCATTTGTTTCCATTGCAGTAGTTTCAAAAGTCTTTCAGACATTCTTCTCCCTGCCTTTAAATCACCTCAGTTTGTGAATTACATCCGTCAAATTTTCTTATCTCTCCTGTGTTTCATTTATGATACGTTCCCTTATTTCGTTTTCCGTGCAAGAATATTCTAATATCGCCAAGAGCTGAATTCCTTATTCTGGATGGTCAAGATCTCATTCTCATGCAGCTTCATTTTTAGTTTTTATCAATGCTCTGTCTCCTTGTTCAAATATCTTACGTCTCACTCACTCTCTCTTTTTTACAACATTAGTTCCGTAAGATAGCAATCAAGCGTACTAAAGGAAATTTCAATGTTTTACTTCTTTATTATTTCTTCTTTTTTCAGAGTTTGAGCATCTTGATAGAAAACATGAAAGACATCATCCGATATTTCTGATCCTCTTTCGATACTTGTATCTTCCGATGCTTCTCTCAATTTGATGTCAGTATCCGCCAAGTTTGTCTCTTTCTGTGCCATCCTGACTAATTGCTTTTTTCGCTCCGTTTCCGCTTGGAACTTGATTGCTCTCAATTTTATTCTTAGGAGTCTGGATTTATTCCTCAGCTTCTTCTTTTCTAACTTTTCTTAATATTTCGTTCTCAGGCCTCAACGTAGCACTTAGCATCCTCCAGAGTCGTGGTTACTCCTCCGCAAATTGAATTATTCTCATTTTATTTTCTTCCGTACTCTGTCACCCACCTCAAATGGCTTCTACCTTCCTCTATTCTACACAATATTCGTCAAGCACGGTGCCCTCGCCTCATTAATTGCAGTTTGATTTTATTAACTGCCAAATTTTTCGTTTTGTGTTTCTTTGGCTGTTGCCCTCTTCTCAAGCATTCTATTCCGATTATCAATTTCTTAATTCCTCACATTACAAATCTTTGGGTTTCCTCTCTCTGCCCCTGCTTCTCTATTTCCCTTTCTCTGTCTCTCTTTATTATTCTGCCTCTGCTTTTCTCTCTCTCTCTCTCTCTCTCTCTATCTATCTATCTTTCTGACTCTGCCTCTCTCTCTCTCTACCTTTCTGTCACTGCCTCTATCTTCCTGTGTCTGCTTCTCTCTCTATATATCTTCCTGTCTCTGCCTCTCTCTTCCAGTCACCCTCTCTTTCTTTATCTTGCTGCCTCTTCTTGTCTGTCTGTCTCTCTCTCCGGCGCACCGCCTCCTGCAGGGCCCTGCGGGGTGGCAGCTGGGCGGAGGTAGGGCGTGGCCAGACGGAGACGCAGCAAGAGCCCCTCCTTCCAGCGCTTTCGGCCGCTTGTGTCGTCATGCGGCGCAATCTCGCGGCGTCGGGCGGCGAACGACGTCCCTTCCAACGGCCCGGACACGTGAGCTCCAGCAGAGGACGCGATGGGCCTCTCCGCTCGCCTCGAGGACGGGATTGCCGCCCCTGCGCTGCGTCGAGGGCGCTTCACGAGGACGGAGATTTCCTTCTCTTTCTCACTGGACGCACAGAGGAAAGGTCGAAATGCAGTCGAAAGGCTCAAAGTTGAATTGAAGGAATTCAGAAACTTTAGAACAATATACATTCTTTACGTACTCTATTGGAAGTGCGAACTATAGATGCCAGAGATTTATAGGGCAATAATTTTAAGCTGAAAATACGAAATATTTTCGTACACTGTGGAATTTTCAGCATGATTGGTTACAAAGAAAAATTTCAAAACATATTGGGTTAAATCAAGTAAAGATCTTATTTCATCTGTGAGGTCAAGTGGCAATTATTACACCTAAAAATTAAAAATAAGAGAATGAGAAACGGTAAAAAAGGAGTTTTCATATGTGCAACCTGAGCAACTAAAAAGATATGCATAAAATGGTTTCAAGAAGAAAAGGAAATATTTCACGTATTGTGGCTTAAAATCATGAAAAATCGCGTACAATTACAGTTTCAGTATCTTCTGTAAATAAATATATCTGTTACATCTGTTGGCATCGGCCAAGTATCAGTTTCATATAAAAACAACTAAAAGTTACTAAGTATCTCCTTCGGATTTATGCCGTCCTTTCACTTTCACAAAAAAGAGGAGTAAAAATGTATTTTTAAATTCTATTCTATAAAACAGTCGATGAACTGTGTCTGTTCAAAGTAAAATCGGACTCTTTGTATTGTTTGACATTTTACAATCACCTTTGGGAATTAGTTTTCGCGTGTGTTCTTTGGGCGTTTTAAAAACTGTTTTCTTTCAAATATCTACAGTTGGATTAGTACCACGAGGTTCGTTCCATATTTACACAATGATTCTCAGAAGATTACGTTTGATGTTTTACTACAAGGTCACAAAGGAGACCAATAAAACAAAATGACTTTCGTACAGTTGCTTTGTCACAACGTGGAGCCCTTTTCCCTATTGCATTCTACTTCATTACAAAGCATAAACAAATTTGTTTGTACTTGGCGCGTCGGCCCGTGTACGACCCATGGCCTACCAGTGACATCCCGAGCCCCTCGCGGCCTTGAGTTAAGGGGATACCTGTGGTTGGCACAAAGACATCCCCACGCCTTATTCTGGTCTTCACATCCTCAGAAGTGAATTTTCTCATAGTGACACATCAACATATACTGAGACATTGCAAGGGAAACGCGCACTATAATCTTGCCTGACCGGGAATCGAACCCGGGGTCGCGTCAAGGAAAGGGAGCACGCTGGCCTGCGGAGGCTGAGATGGTGGCAGCAAAGGCAATAGCGATGGGTAGAACAATGCCGCAGTGGGGGGCGGGTGTCAATATCCGAGCGTGGGTAGAGTGAGCGAGGTGGAGCGTGGGCGTGGAAGAGTGAGGTGGTGAATACACCCCTCGACCGCCGTCGCGGCGCCGCAAGTCGATACCGTACGCCCTCTCCGCACCTCGCGCGATGAAAAGAATTGCTGAAAGCCGGGAAGGGTCACAGGAAGAAAGCCAGCCTCACAATGGACACTGGATTACAAGGTGACCGGAGAGCGCCGGGAGGGGCTGACGTGGCTGGGGGACTGAGGTGAAATCCATCCTACAGTAGAAGGGATTGACTGTGGGTTGGTGGTTGTTTGCGCCAAAAGTCCCTGGGTTACGAAGTTTCATGTTGTATACGAGTAATTATCTTTAAATGTAAGTTGACACAAACATACAACTAACTAACTTTCCTTTTTAATTTTGTGCGCATAGGGTTTACCCACTGTTGTCCCATCCGTAACCGCAGAGTCGTTGTTGGTGTCTCCCTGGTAGCATGTTTTGAAACTTATAGTTGTAATCCATTGTTATGTTGCTAAATTATTCTACTATAGCGCGCCAACAGCTGGTCATATGAGTATTTGTTTTTATAAAATGTAGCAAAACCGTTAGACCTTAACTGCATATGCTCGTCAGCTTCGGTGCGGACCAACCACTGTTTGCTTTACACCAGCTTCTCCCTCAGTCTTAACCACAAGTATATAGCTGCTCATCAAGGTTTTAGATTATGATTCGAAGTGTGTTATGAATAAACCGTGGTCAGGAGTGTATAATGCTCTAGCATTCTCGACTAAATCGATATCGACCGTTAAGGAGCACCAAATCTTGCTTATATGTTTCATTTCGGATGTCTCTGTAATTTTATGTCTTCATAACAAGTTCGCGCTGCTAGAGAGCACAGACAACTTTAAAATTGACTTATAGTAATAGTAATTAACACTTAAAGTGAAAGTGATAAATACGTGAATACAATATTGTGTTCATATGCATTACGTATTTCATTTGCTGGAATTGTTCCAACAGGAAAGATAAATTGGAGGGCAGTTAACGTTTTGTTTTCTAAAAGGGAAATTCATGGAAGAATTTGAAATATTTACTAAAGTAGTTGAAAGTTTTCACTCCAATTACTACCCTAATTTGCACTTCTTTATTAATGCAGAATTCATTTAAAAATGTCAATACAAACTGCGCAAGCGCCCACAGCCACTGCATGTAGCGGAAACTAATCCAAATGGATAACAGCAACATTAAATTTCCACGCAACGTACAAATACTGATTGATATAACAAAAGAGAAAATAATTTCCACACCGAGATATTAAAATAGATCTAATATAGTCGCTACAGTTATCTCGTTGTCGTGTGAATGTTCACAATAGTGTCAAATTTACTCTCTCATTTCCTGAACCGCTGTTAGTACGTTCACTCGCTTTCGTCAGTGTTGTGTGTGATCTCCACCTAGGAGCGCTGATCACTCAACTCATACAGAGAGTAGGGCATTCCAATATTCTACCGATCCCGCCATTTTATATCCAATGGTCAGAAGAATTGAACTGTGGTATTCTGTTTGCTGAGAACCATGAATGTATTCAAAGCAATATTTATATTCTGAAAGATCTTCATATTGTCATCAATTGTTATAATTGTTATAATTTTCACTCAGCCTTTCCTAGTTGCCTGTCGGAGCTATCAGGAGAGATGATTATATTAAAGCGGCGTTTGCGCTACTCTCTGTATCTAGGGACTCACAGATGGTCCTAGAAACATGGAACTTCTCATTTTTATCCACAAAAATCCATTTACACTAACGTTTAACTTAATTGAGGTTTTCGTAACTGTAGGTTTATATTACGTATACTAAAGAACGATTCTAAATGTTGGCAACAAATGTTGCGGAATTCAGTCAATGATTATCAATATTTTATTCAGAATCATTGCCTGTGGTCTCACAAGAAACGACGTCTTTTCTGCTCCCTGACAATAGATTTCATTCTTTCCCATTGGTAAATAAAAATATAAAAAATACGTTTAACAAAAGACTCTTCTAGATAGTAAATAATGAAATGAACTATTGTATACAGCACGTCAACTCTGAATTAATGTAATGTTAATTAGAAATGAGGCTGAGTATCAGATCATGACATAAAAGAGTACATCTTAAAAGGAACTCTCCTAATGGAAACAGTGAAGCGCATAAATAATAACAAAAGTTTTCGAATTACGATGAAAGAAATAAGGTAAAATGGAAAGGGGTGGAATTAAGTTGCCGATGCGAAGAAGCAAAATCAATTATGTCATGACGGCGCGAAAGACTTACGATCTGTGCCAATGTAAGGCTGTTGGTTTGAAACCCTAGTTTGAAACCCACATAAGACACTAATGTTTTCGCATGGTTTTAAGGCGTGAGGGTTCTGCCTCTTTTACCAGAACAATGACACACACACTGAGATAGGACCAAAGAATACAATGTTCAAATATGTAAAAGTAAAGAACCGAGACATGTTGATGGTGTGCAAAGGTGCTCTTAAGCCCATCCAAACGAAGCGATAGGTGCCGCGAGAAATCATTCTAGTCTTTTAGACGCTGAAGAGAATAGGAAATTAGCTACCGCTAGAAAGTATGTACCATTCTGTAGCACCGCTAGCTTTTGTTATGAAACAGAAGCTGCACTCCGTGCGTCGCCGCTGCGTCCGGGGTTCAGCGCCCGGCACGTCCCGTCCCGTCCCGCCGCAAGGCAGCCGCTGACAAAGGCAGACGCGGCGGGCCCCGCAAATGAATCCACAGAGACAGTGCCAAACAAAACGTGCAGGAGCGCAGGAGGGAGTTTCCAGGCGCCGATGGGGCACACGGGACGACGAGAGCTGCGGCTACGCGATTTGCGCAACGCGGTTCAGGCTAATTGAAAGCACTCAGTATTACAAATGCGGACGCGACTTTGCAATGAACATGCAGATACGTACAAAAAGAACAATAACAAAGGCAGTAGAAACGTGTTGTGGAAAGGAAAATGTAGTCAAAAATATTCAACGAAGAGAGGGCAGGCAAAACGGAACTGATCTTTTTAGGTCTCTTCAGAATTTATTACTGCGTCTGTTCTTGCTTGACGGAGGTGGGTTTTGAATTTGGCGCAAAGAAAATATCTATTTTTTTGTTGTTATTATAAATTATTTTCTTATTTTCAATATTTTATTTAAGCGGAAAATTTAAAGTTAAGTTGACAAAAAAGAAAAGAAAAACACGAAACACACTGTAGTGGTGGCAGTAGCAGCTAAGAAACTTTCCACAAATCGTATTTTTATGTTCGAGTCATAGATTAATTACTCATATGTCATTTGAGTTTTGGGAACTTTGTATATCTTCTCCGGGGGTACTCTTTCTTAGATATTTTGCACATATTGTAATGTTAGTTTTCTCTCTTGGATTTTCTGTTTCTTGTGTTTGTTCTGAATACATATTGAGTCAACCAAAAGTCTATAAGCCTGAACTTTACGCTGAATTCATGATGAAAAAAGCAATATATCATTAACTGTCAATGGAAAGACCACACACGGGTATGGAATTTATTTTTTCTCCCAAAATAGGTTATCCTGTGAGTGTTTATGGGATCTGAACGCGTGCAGTCTCCTTCGTACAGTTTGCCAGTGGGGCAAAGACCGATCTCTGTAATTCCCAAACAACAACCACAAAGTCGTCTGCTAAGAAGATCAAGGGACGACCTCTGACATTAGACTTCAGAACACGGATAAGCTCTTCGCAAGTTCAGGGGTAATGACTCAGACTATTCATCTAATTCCTAGTGGAAATCCATAAGTTTTATAATTAA